TCCGTGCTCATAGGGAGGAAGTCAACAAGGCATACAGGAAGTTGGCTGTACTGTTGCACCCGGACAAGTGTGTGGCCCCAGGCAGTGAGGATGCCTTTAAAGCAGTGGTTAACGCTCGCACGTCCCTGCTCAAGAATATCAAGTAGGAGCGTGTGCCCACACACAAGTGCATCTCACATGGTTTCCATTACAAACATACTCCTCATTATGTCTGAGATATGCCATAAAACATATTTTTTTAATCTTCATTGTGCCATTGAAACATTATTTATTTTAAAAGATTTTTTTTTTTTAGATTGCTTGCTGTGGTGTTTTCTTTGTTGAATTTGTATTATATATTTATTTATTTATAATTTTGATTATTAATTGTGCAATTAAAATGGCAATTAAAAACCTTGCGCGAGCCAGGGCAGTTTAAATATGCTATCACAATATTTGAAGTACAAATAACATTGTAACACCACAAAAGTGTTTTGTTTGTTTTTTCGCCTCAAGATTTCATCAAAAACCAACAAATGACCACTTAGACCCTTTAAGGCTATCAAAAACTTAACCATGTTCCCTTGTTTTAAGTTGATCAGCTTCACATTGCCATTAGTTGGAGTTGGAGAGTTACCTCGCATTTGCAGAGTTCCCTTCTCAGTGAAGATTACGCTTAAGACACATGGAGAAGCCTCTGGACTCCAACAAAGACTTAGTTACAGCTGAGTTTGATGTACAGCTACAGTATGACACAGTCACCACAGTTGTCCTGTTTACTTTATAATGTAATATACATGTTCATGTCAAGTTGTAATGGGGAAAACAATGCTCTAAGCCCAGATCATATGTACGTCACATCACCTTAGAGCATGAGGATGACTTAGGTGGACCGTTCCTTTTCCCAGTCTGTCCTGTGACATCTGACTGTTGTGCTGCTTTGCTCCCATAGACGTACAGTTGAAAGACCTTTTATTTTCCTACTTATTTGTGAGTCAGATTTAGCATTCAAATGCTGTTGTTTAATCCCAATGCATCTTGCAAGGATACCATAACCTACATGGGTGATTCCCAGTTTTCCCCCTGCTTCACCTTAGCTCACTCCAAAGAGGAGGAAAGCACCAAACTGTACTGTAACTTAACCAATACCTTTGCTTCAGTGCAATTTAACAGTAGAGCTGGGTTTTAAAAATCCCAAGTCTTCTCATATTTGATGCTAGATTCTGTTAACTAGTCTTTTGAAGAGAATCAAGTTTTAGTACAAACATCAATACATTTAAATCAACCTGTTCAAGAACCATGGTATGTCATGCAAATGCAATTAGTTAATTTGACTAAAGTTATGTACTTTGGGGTATTATATAGGCTATAGTTTTTTTTTTTTTAAATAATGGATTTACCAAACATACACTACCGTTCATAAGTTTAGAGTCAGTACATTTTTTTTAAAGGAATTAATTAAGAAAGGATGTGTTAAATTGATCAAAGGTGAAAGTACATTTTACAAGACATTTACATAGTTACAAAAGATTTATATTTCAAATAAATGCTGTTCTTTTTAACTCTCTTTTCATCAAAGAATTCTAAGAAAATTGTTTCATGGTTTCCACAAAAATACACTGGTATATTCAGCTTTTATTCATCACAGGAATAAATTGCATTTTAAAATATATTCGAATAGAAAACATTTTGCAATTTACTGTTTTTACGGTATACTGGATCCTGTATCAAATAAATGCAGTTGTGGTGAGCATAAGAGACTTCTTTAAAAAAAAAAAAAAAAAAATTCTTACTTATCCAAGACTTTTGAACGGTAGTCTATGAAATGTTGTGGTCACTACTAGTGCCAAGACTATATTAGTGTATAAGAGTACCGTTTACCAGTCTTTACAAAACCTTTGGGGGTTTTGCAAAACGCAAAGCTAAAAAAAAAAATGTATTGATGCTGACACAGTAGCTTGCGTATATATATATATATATATATATATATATATATATATATATATATATATATATATATATATATATATATATATACACACATATATATATATATGGTTGTTTTCTCTACTCTGAACTGTATTAACCATGAAAGGAACTCTCTGTGAATCTGTCACAGTGATGGTATCTGATCCCAGGATAACGTAAGAAGAAAGGAGCTTTGTTTACACCAACATTGGAATAGATAAAAATAACGAAGATAAAACTGTTACATTAGCAGAGCAATGTAGATGTGCCAACATGCATTAGTTCAACAATGTTTTGTTTGGCCCTTGTATATTAATAATAATCACTGTAATGCAAGTATATCAAATGTTGTATTTTTTTATGGAACCGTGGTGTTTACAACATGATGTAGGTGTACATGTGCAATCTAACCATTATTTATATTTTCAATCAAGTTCACGTTTTGTGATCTCTATTTCACGTTTATTTTGAAAGGGCATTTGATAATGTGCTGCCTTATTCGCTATGTTGGACTATGTAACGTATCCGAACAATGTTTGACTGTTGCATCATCTGTAGATGTGAAAAGATGAGTTGTATTGCTAAATGTTTCATTAGCTACCCTTACCACACATTACACAATATTGAATCTTTTAACTGGAATCACTTTTGTTTCCACCTTTTGTTTCATTGTGTGACATTGATATGTCTGAGTATAAAATGTGTTAAAGCATGAATAAGAAGCATGTTTGTGATTATGCAGAATAGAAAGATGCGGCCAGTGTAAATGAATGCCAAGGCCACTGCTCAATGGGGAAAAGTGTCTCTGTTTTATGCACAGAAGCATTCACTTTCTTCATTCGGCTTATAGCGTAATAAAGGAATAATTTTAAATCACTTTTGGTCCCTTTTGATTTAGAAAATTGTATTATTAAATCACAACATTACAAACTAATCCAGTTTCACAAAAGCTACAGAGTTATGGGCCATTAATACAGAAATTATTTTGCATTTAAAAATAGAGATGCAGGGCAAAGTCTAGAGATGCGTTTTTAAAAAAAAGTTGGACTTTTTTACCTTTTAACTAAAGCACCAAGTTTTCAGAATGCTGTGTAATGCGTGAGACACGAGCGCAACGGTCAGATAACTAGAATAAAAATAGAAAAGCAGTAGTGGAATGCAAAAACGCATTCTGTGTGAATGGCCCCTGTTGTACTATATAATAATAATAATTCATTACATTTATATAGCGCTTTTCTCGGCACTTAAAGCGCTTTACATAGAAGGGGGGAATCTCCTCAACCACCACTAATGTGCAGCATCCACCTGGATGATGTAACGGCAGCCATATTGCGCCAGACACCCACCACACACCAGTTTATTGGTGGAGAGGAGACAGTGATGAAGCCAACTAGTACATGGGGATGATTAGGAGGCCATGGTGGACAGAGGCCACTGGTCAAATTTGGCCAGGACGCCGGGATTACACCCCTACTTTCGAAAGACATCCTGGGATTTTTTGTGACCACAGACAGTCAGGACCTCGGCCCCTGCTGGCCTCACTAACACCTCTTCCAGCAGCAACCATAGTTTTCCCAGGTCTCCCATCCAGGTACTAACCAGGCTCAACCCTGCTTAGCTTCAGTGGGCAACCAGTCTTGGGCTACAGGGTCATATGGCTGCTGGCTTTAGAAATGCTACGAAAATTAAGCCAGTGGGTAAATGCAACTCAACATTGTTTAGCCCAAGTCATCCACTAAAGTGACGGAAACAGATGGTTCAGTCACTTTCTGACCTGGCACATATTGTTGGTAACCAGATCAGTGAGAAGCACTTTATCCAGCTTACTTCCCACATTCCCTGAATCAGTGGCCTAGCCTGCTAAGTGCTAACTAAAACCCTGCCCTGTGTCTGCTCAAAAGCAGATGTCAACCAATCACAAATGATCAGCTTTTCTCGTTATAAAGTAATTATGTATCTGGGCAAGATGAACTAGATATTGTGAAAACAAAAAAACACTTTTAATCAACTATTTGAAACATGGAATTAACAAAACAGGGCTTTCCAAAAATACATTTACAGAGCAATTAGATTTTAACCTAGCTCTTGCCTCCACACATAAACTCACCAGCCATGTACATTATCCTGTTAGCTGTGAGGCCTTAATGGATCACGTGCGCCATTGCTGAGTAGATAATCCCTTATATTTCAACCTATTACTACCTGTGTGCGTGTGTGCATGTGCATTAGATCCCAAACTCCTCTTTCACTGACTGCTGAGTCCAAGTCCACTTACTTTTGCCTCTAAACATATCCATCAAGAGTCAAAATTCTTCAATAGGATAAGCTTCAGCAGATTGTGCTCTGCTACCTCTGGGAAGGGTCAGGACAGCTTTTCAGACCATCTGGCAGAGCAATCACTTCATTACCTGAAGACAACGCTACTCAACTCTCAAGACAGAGTCAATCATCCACAGACAGGATGTCTTTTTAAACTGGAGTGAGGTTGTATTCATCCAATGCAGAGGTGATGGATGCTTTGCATAGTTATGGTGCATGGCATGGCAGAAGGGAAAACTGTCAAAGAAGACTCATTCTGCACTCAGCTGCTGAGCATTACACCACTGAGGGACAAGAATTTGCCATATTAGATATTTGCTTGTGTCTGGATCAGTGTACCTGGGCTACTGTTCATGGCGGAGCAGATGCATGCATTGTTACAAGATTTATCAAGCTTGCAACACCACATCAATGGCAAGTATCCTTCCATTTATTTCATGTGTATACGTAGTTTTAATCGATTTTGTTCTCTGCTAATTTTTATTATTGAACTCATTTTGGGGATATTGAACTTGTTCTAGGGGTATTTTGGGGGGTATTGAACTTGTTTTGGGAGTCTTAGAGTGTATTAAACTTGTTTTTGATGTATTCTTCTGAGGGCATTTTATGGGTATTGTGCTTGTTTTGACGTGCATTGTCATTTTACATCCAGTGTTAAATCATTTTAAAGTTTGTTTTTGAGTTTCATACTGATACAACTTCAATGTTCCATCTATACTATTAAATCTTTTTTCTCTCTTGTTTCAGGTTTGTGCAGTTGATCGAGGTCTTTATCTGAGTTTTGGGATCTAAAGCCTGTTCAGATAAGGTTCAGAAAATGGCTTTGAGTTCTACAGAAGTCACTGTTCAACCTAAGGTATGCACATATGCGCCTCCCCCGCCCCACCTAAAACGCAAGCAACTAATGTGGCAGAATGCGGTACGTCACATTATCGACCAACGAGGAATGCACCACGAGGGACGAGTAGCCAATTCTCACAAAATCATTGTTACCGATGCCTACATCGATGACATCAACAGGCAGATTCGTAACAAAGCTGCACGGAGCACTGCTGGCATGCACAAGCGGCGCTCCTCTGCGGCCCGCATCCATCCATTACGAGAGCGCAACTCCACCTCCACTCGGAAGTCCACTGACTCGCTCAGTGACGCAGACTTCTTTGTAAGCTGGGGCTCCACGGTGCGTGGAGTCTTCCTTCCTGCTCTCCAACACAAGTTCAAATCTCATGATCTCGAGCGTCTGTACCAGCATCATTCATCTGGTCAGCGCCGAACTTCCCTTGTAGTCACTAATGTCATCGATATCCTTACCAAACTCCATATTCTCTTCATTTACCTGGCAGTGGCCCCTGAGATGGTGGACCTTCAACAAGGATGGTTGGCTGGGCTCTTCATGGCACTTGGAGCAGTCATATGCGTCTTAGTTCTAACCTATAAAGGATTGATGTGTCCAGATTACCTGCGCTATGCTGGGCTGGCGAGTTGGCTCTCCCAGACTGTTCAGGCACTGGGTAGTTTGGTATATGGATTGGAGAAGGACCAGTCCTGGTATGTGCTCTTCACCCTGTTCGCCACCTACACGCTATTGCCCCTACCTCTTCTGTGGTCCATCTGCACTGGGTTCCTCACCGCTGCCTTGCACCTTTTGGTGGATGCCCTCAGGAACTACAATGACACGGCCATTGTAAGAAAGGTAAAAAGGACTCAAGATCAAACCTCATTAAACTTAAATGTTCACTTTTGATTTTCACCTTAGCGTCGAAAAGTAAAAAGACATTAATGCCTAATTGAAATTGGAGATGATCACGAGAACTATCCTTGAGATTTTGAGTCAAGTTTGTGTTTTTTTCGGAGTTGTGCTTGGTCTTCCTTTTGATAAATGCTCCATTATGGCACAAGAGTACACCAGTATCAGAATCTCAAGACTTTCTTCAACCACTTGTCGACTTGAGAGATCAACTAATGAACCTTGTCTTGTTCATTTCAGTTACTGTGCTAACTTTTACTCTTGGTTTTCGTCCAGTTACTAGCGAAAGGTCTGTTGTACATGGGTATGAACACCGCAGGACTGTTCATCCACTACTTATCGGATCGTGCACAAAGGCAGGCCTTCCTTGAGACGCGACGTTGCATTGAAGGACGAGTCAAGATGGAGCAAGAGAACAAGAGACAGGTTTGTGATTCTTGACTTAATATGATAGATCATTAATCTGAAACCTCAGGAAATGAGAAATCATTTTGCGTTAGGAACGCTTGGTGATGTCCATTCTTCCTCGGTTTATTGCTATGGAGATGATTGGTGATATGACTTCTATGGATGATGAATTACTTCCTCAACAGTTCCATAAGACCTACATTCATCAATACAAAGACGTCAGGTACACACTGCTTCCTGTGCAGTACTACCTTCCAGCACATTTAGACTGCGAGGATGGTTCATGAAATGAACATATATGTCCTCTTGTCTCAGTATCCTGTTTGCTGATATAAAAGGCTTCACCTCTCTCTCCATGACCATGTCGGCTCAGGAATTGGTGCGCACACTCAATGAGCTGTTCGGTCGCTTTGATCGCCTTGCTGAGGTGAGAAAGATTAACCTTTGAGTTTTACAGGTAGTTGGAGAAAAGGGTTTTGGTCAATGTGTGTCCGACTGTAATTTACTGTATGAGCTTAGGAATTGTTGTAACTATTGTAAATATCACAACAGTCGTAATTAGTTTTAGTGTCAGATGTGTTACTTTATGCCAAAGTGTAGAAATGTGAAATGTTAGAAGATTATTAAAAGATATCTTTTGATATTTTAGGAGAATCATTGCATGAGGATAAAGATTCTTGGAGATTGTTACTACTGTGTGTCTGGGGTCCCAGAGCCCCAAACCGCACATGCTCGCTGCTGTGTGGAGCTGGGTCTGGCCATGATAAACACTATACGGTGTGTATTTTACGTGTTAGACACCCCCACCCCCCACTCAAAGGGTTTGTGTCTAATTCTCAATGATTTTCCTATTTCAGAGTTTGTAAGCAAGCCATTCAAATGTTGATTTCCCCCAAAGACTTGCTCTGTCGCGCCACTAACATTTTTTGCAACAGCGTAATCCTTCTCTGACGAAGAAATCTCAGATTATCCGCGCGTATAAATGGTACCAGAACAAATTAATCTGATTGTGGGTGAAGAAATCCCCATTTTCTGCATTTTTGAAGGTGATCTGAGCGATGCTCCTCAGTCACTGATTAAGGCCTTATTATTAGTTACGTCATTGTATTCATATTAAACAGCTGAACCGCTCAAATGAAACAATCGCGCCGAATTAGTGGTGAAAATTCTACCCTAGCTAAATAGTAATTTGCCATTGTCTGTGAAGGGAATGTGCTGTTTTGATTTGTGAAAGAGAGAAAAACGTCATGTGTCTAAGCTGGAGTTCTCAATGCAAACTTTCAGCACAACGAGAGCGCTGCTTCGCTTGATTTGTGTTGTTGGTTGGGGCATTGGTCTCTTAGCAACGCATGACACCAGGAAGTACGAGCAGGCACTTCTGTATAATCTGATAACAGCACCAACCTCACAGACCCTTTTGTAAACAAGTGATTGTGTGTGTAGCCAAAGCTAGCTCTCTAGTTACCCTACACGCATACAAGTTAAAGCCCTTTACCTCGACCGATAGCTTTTAGCGCCCGGCTAAAACTTGGACACGTGTGAGTGTAAAGTGTAACCTTTAAACCAAAGACTATAGACTTTGGGCCTTGGCCCTTGAGACGAAGGGATTGTGATTTGAACACAAGTGATGAGAGACAAAGCTCCTCGAGGCTTTGAATCAAAGGAGTCAATTGGTAACAAATGATTCATTGTTTTGAAGCGCCCCCGCTGGGGACCCCTGCTGGTCAGAACAGTGTAAGTGTAGCGAAGTTGGGGCAGGTTTGAGCTCTGTTGGAACTCTGCAGGACGTTGACCCTCCAGGAGAAGGACTGGGACACCCCTGATCTTTTGGAATATTCATATTCTGTTATTTCCAAGTTGCTTTATAGCGATTTAAGTCCATATCTGTTGATGAAATCAAAAGAGATTATCAAAAATCAGAAAAATGTTATTCTTCCCTCTCCTTTTGTCAGTTATGTACGTAAGGAGCTGAAGAGAGATGTGGACATGCGTATCGGGATCCACTCCGGCTCGGTTCTGTGTGGGGTTTTGGGTCTGCAGAAATGGCAGTTTGATGTGTGGTCTTGGGACGTAGATGTTGCCAACATGCTAGAGGCTGGAGGAGTCCCAGGGTAAGTACACCGGATCATTACCATGGTCATATGTTTAACTTAATACAATTGATATTAGAATAATAAAACAAATTGTATAATATTAGGAGGATTCATATATCACAAGCAACCTTGGACTGTCTAGAGGGTGTATATGAGACAGAAGAAGGTCGAGGCCATGAACGGAATGAGTTTTTACGCAAACACAAGGTCGACACTTTTCTGATCCGCCAAACCCCACAGGAAGACAAGGAGCCTCCTAAAGTCCGGCGAACCAGCAAAGATGAGACTACATGGAGTGCTGAGCTTCCTTTTGATAACATCATTGGAATGAACTGCGTGAGTCTGCTGGCCTTAAAACCTTACCTAATCTTACTTCTCTTTCTAGTTAGTGATAAGATGTAATGTTATCAAACCTGTTAAATAGTGCCATACTATGTTATTCATTGAATTCTTTAGTACACTAAAGGAATGTTCCAGTACGGAGACAAGTTAAACTTTATCACCAGCATCAGTGGCATGGCAGATTACATTAGAAAATAATTTATAAAAGACTAGTCTCTTGTTTGTAAAACTAAACAAAAATCATGTTCACAGTAAGCATTTAATATGGAAGTCTGTGCGCAAGGCAAAAAAAAAAATTATTTCTAGGGGTGTAACGAGACCCTCATGTCACGATTTGATACATATCATGATACTGAACTCACGATACAATATTTTTGCGATACTCTAAAAGGTTAAACAAAAAAGATTATGTTGATTAAAATGCTAAATTTGGTATTACATTGGGGGTGTAAATGAATAGACTTGGACTTGGTTCTGGTAACCCAATGCACAGAACAATGGTGACACCAGAATATAAAATATTCATGATTCTGAAGCTGAAAATACAGAATTATTTTGGACGAATATGCTTGCACTCTGTCACTGACTAGATATATTTAAAATTATGTAGGCCACTTTTTACTGGTAACATGAGACATTTGGCATTATCAGGACCCACAAATATTCCCCCATTGCATTATTATACATTATAGTAGTGTAATGTGTTACTGACACTAAAACGCTGTAAACTTGAATTTTTTCTCACAGAATTTTTATCTTGGCTGAACTATACAAAATACATATTGTCACTATCCATGATACATATTGCGACATACAGTATTGTGACACGATATATTGTTACACCCATAGTTATTTCAGTTGTAAAGTTGTTAGCTGTTAGCATTGGGACTAATCAATATGATCAATTTAAAAAAATCTCCAATTTTGGCCAATAAACAATATCAGTTCAGTTTATTTGTCCCCATAGGGAAAGTAAGTTTGCAGCATACTCACACAGACATTTTAAGAAACACAATTTGATACACATACATACAATACATGTGTATGCCAAGTACATGGTACAGGTCATCCATCTCTATTAATAATTGTAATAGATTTTCTTTTTCACTTGCAATGCTTTTTGTTTTGTCATCTTTTAGATCTTAGCCACTTTCACCAATGGCTCCCTGGTGCAGTTGCCCAATCAGATTATTTCCCATTGTGCCGGGTCTCGAGAAATCAACAAGAGAATCAAGCAGGCCATCGAGGTGCGCAGTAGTGAGCGAATGCGCAAGGAACACATCACACCCTTCACGTTGGTCTTCAAAGACGCACACATTGAGGGAAAGGTATTGACTGCAGAGGAACTGCTTTTATATGTCGTAGAGCACTTTTGCTTACAAGTAGGCCCACACAAAATTTGCACTTTCAGTTTTCTCAGATGCGAGATGAGATGTTCAAGTCCAACTTGGCCTGCTCTTTCCTCATGCTCCTCTTCATCATGGCTGTTCAGGCCCTCATCCCCTCACCACAGTGAGCTATTATTATTATTATTATTTCAAAAGCCTAATGTGGACTTTCATTGAATTTTAAAATGTGTTACATTTCCGATTTATAGCTCTGAATGCATGTGTCCCCCACAGAATCTGTCCTATGGTAATCCAGTTTTTAGTATTCCTGTTTGTCTACATGCTACTGCTTCTGGTCACACTGGCTGAGGAATTTAAGCGCTCCCCACCATACTTACAGCATCTGTGCTGTTGGATCCACGAGACCAAGAGCATCCGTAACCTGCTCACCCTCGTCGCTATTACTATTAACTTCGGTGTGGCCTCCTGTGATATTGTGAGTGCCAGAATTGATAGTTTTCTTGGGCCAAATTAAAATGCTTCTCTTAATGATTTTTTTTTTTTGCTGTACAGTTGTGGTGTAACACAGTTGGAGAGGATGAGGAAAGTAACAAGACCTCCAAACAAGGCTCACAGTGGACTGTGAACATCTGCACCCATCCTGAGGTACGGTAGATGCATATTAAATACAAATGTGTCTCAAGTGTGATAACTTCCAGTAATGCTTAATCTGGTACTATGAATACCATTTCTGTAACTCCACTATAAGGCATACTATAAAACTCTCTGTCTCTCTGCAGTTCTTTGTTTTTAGTGGTGTGTTGGCCATGGTGACGTGTGCTGTGTTCCTCAGACTCAGCTGTCTGTTGAAGCTGGCAGTACTGATGTTAGTCATTGCAGTTTACACATACCTCATTGAGGTAGCCTTCCATGTGCTCTTTATCCGCCAACACCAAAACGGCCAAATTCAGAGGTACAATATTTTGCTTTATTGAAGAGTTCATACCAAGTTTCTGAATGTGGTAATGTGTTCGATTTTAAGACACTTAGGCACTTCAACGATGAATAAGCCATTTTTGCAATCTTTTTATTATTATTATTGTTTAGAGTAAATTTACAGTTTTGAAAGTAACAGTATATTTACAGGTAAAATTTAAAATATAACAATTAAACTCTTTTTAATATGAAAAAGCAATATTAGTTGAGACTAACAAAAAGAAAACTTGGTAATTTTCATAACTTGGTGATATTTATAAAATTTAAAACTACTTTTTTATGATTAATGTACATTTAAACTGTAAAGGAAATGTTTTTTTTTTTTTTTTTTTTTACCTTTTTAGAGCTTTTAAATTTTAATAACAATTGAAATTGTACAGACATTTTTTTATGTAACATTGCATATGTTTAAAATGCAGATTTGGTCATCATTGTTTGTCACTGACCCTTAAATAGTACATCAAACTTTTTTAGAAAGTCAAGAAAAATTTTCATGACATGACCCCACCAAATTACTTCCTGGACTGTTGAATTGTTGTAGCCCCTCTGATGTGTGTATATGTGTGTTTTTGCCCAGATCTCAGTACCTCAGACGCAAAGGCATTTCTGTGTTGCTAATGGCCATGTTTGTTGTGGTCGTCCTTTACAACAGTAGACAGGTAGTATATTAACATCTTATTAAAAAAATGTATTATAGGAATGCATATACTAGTGATTTAAATAACAATTTAATTATATAAAATTATTACATATTTATTTAACAATTGATACATATATTTATTTTTAATGATATAAATACTAATCAAATCACCACTTAGCCTTAATTATCATCCTATTGTAAAATAACTGAAACAATAAAAGCTGACATGCAATTTATATTTTGTGTTTTAAGTTATCTCAGTATGATTCAAGAAATGATTACTGCTTTAACCTACAGTTAGAAACTACAGCCAGGCTTGACTTCCTGTGGCGTCTGCAGGCCAGACAGGAAGTGGAGGACATGAAGGAACTGAGGGAGCATAATGAGTGTCTGCTGTACAACATTCTTCCTGGCCATGTAGCTCGCCACTTTCTTGAGAGAGACAGGAACAATGAGGTAGTTGCGTGGATTATTAATGACAGATATTAATAGTTTAAACTTATAACAAATAATAATGTAAGTAATAACATTGTCAAGCTGTTTTCAAAATGAGGGTCTATTTGGTGCATTTAAATTGTTCCAGCAGCTATGCACTCTTCATTAATCAATAAGTATAAATAAATTAACAGTAACACAACTGTATTAACTCTTTGGCTTCAAGGACCTGTTCTCTGAATCGTATGAGCGAGTTGGGGTGATGTTTGCTTCCATTCCAGACTTTACAGATTATTACGAGAAGAAAGAGTTGATTCATCAAGATGTGGAGTGTCTGCGTCTTCTTAATGAGATCATCGCTGACTTTGATGAGGTGCGTGGATTTGTGCAGCATCCTCTTAGTAACAAATGTCGTCAAAAGCCCAAGCGTGGACATGCTCAGGGATTTAACAGCTAATAGCTGCTCAGGTGTTACTATTGGAATGTATTGGCTATGTGCAAACACTCATTTCTTTTATCATAAGACATTATGTTATAGTGAAATATCTCAGAGACAGGCTTACTTAGTCTTTTTTCCCCTGGTTTTTCCCTTAGCTACTGGAAGAGCCTTACTTCCAGGACATAGAGAAAATCAAAACCATTGGCAGCTGCTACATGGCTGCTTCTGGACTGTCTCCTGAAAAACAGGTGAGTTTGTTTCAAAATGTATGCCTGGCAATATATGCAGATGCATGAAATATAGGCTACTGGACTGGTCAACCATATTTGTTGTTAATACTATCCACACCAGTTTAATTAGGTCAATATTGGAATCAGATAAAAATATACAAGGAAAAAAAGTAGTATAAAATAAGAATACGGTTTAATTTGAAACTTATTTACTCACATGTTTTCATAGCCATTGCAGAATGTGCAGCATATTTATTTTATTTTATTTAGTACTGTCCTGAATAAGATATGTCACATAACAAATGTTTACATATTGTCCACAAGTCAGAAATAATAATTGAATTTATAAAAATAACCCCGTTCCAAAGTTTACACAGCCCTTGTTTTGTGATGATTGTTCAGAAGTCCCTTGTTTGTCCTGAGCTGTTAAAGGGATAGTTCACTTTGAAATTAATTTTTGGTATGTTTTAGCTTACCTCAAGGGCATCTAAGATGTAGGTGTCTTTGTTTCCGCAGTAGTTTCAATTTTGATATTTTTAGGTCATGAATTTATATTATTGAATTTTTAACATTTATGATTATTATTATTATTTTTTGTTATATCCTTTCTGACCAACATGATGGTCAGAATTAAAAAAAAAAATTTTAAATATAATTTTCAGTTCTGCTCATAAGTTTACATACCCTTAGCAGAATATGCAAAATGGTAATAATTTTAACAAAATAAGAGGGATCATAAAAAAAATGCATGATATTTTTTATTTAGTACTGTCCTGAATAAGCTATTGCACATAACAGATGATTACATATAGTCCACAAGATAAAATAATAACTGAATGTATAAAAATGATGTTCTAAAGTTTGTATACCCTTGAATCTTAACACTGTGTGTTATTTTCTGGATGATCCAAGATGATCCAGATGTTTTGTGATGTTGTTCATGAGTCTGTTGTTTTTGGAGCACTTGCCTTCAGAAAATTCTGCAAGGACATACACATTCTTGGGTGTTGTCATATTTGAACCCTTTCCAAAAGCAACTGTACGATTGTGAAATCCATCTTTTTACACCGAGGACAACCACAGGACTGTACACAACTTTTACAAAAACATTCACTGATGCTGAAGGCGGAACTTTTGAAAAAGGTCAAATATTCAGGATATGCCTACCATGTGTAGGACATTGAGTATTTTTCTGAAGAGCAATGCTCTGTTTAAAGGGATAGTTCACTTTGAAATTATTTTTTGGTATGTTTTAGCTTACCTCAAGGGCATCTAAGATGTAGGTGTCTTTGTTTCCGCAGTAGTTTAAATTTTGATATTTTTAGGTCAAACCGTTCTTGTCTGTCAGTCATATAATGCAGGTCTATGGTCACCACCTCAAAGAGCATGCACAGAGAAATCCAAATTAAACATGATTTAATGACTCGTAAATGTAAGTACACATTGATGGCCTAAGACACGAAACGAGCGGTTTGTGTGAGAAAACGAACAGTATTTATATCGTTTTTACCTCTTGTAACCACAGCCACGTCCAAGTGATCTGAGGCCGCGGGCGCTTCGGTCTGTGGTTACAAGAGGTAAAAACGATATAAATACTGTTCGTTTTCTCACACAAACCGCTCGTTTCGTGTATTTGACCTTTTTCAAAAGTTCCGCCTTCAGCATCAGTGAATGTTTTTGTAAAAGTTGTGTACAGTTCTGTGGTTGTCCTCGGTGTAAAAAGATGGATTTCACAATCGTACAGTTGCTTTTGGAAAGGGTTCAAATATGACAACACCCAAGAATGTGTATGTCCTTGCAGAATTTTCTGAAGGCAAGTGCTCCAAAAACAACAGACTCATGAACAACATCACAAAACATCTGGATCATCTTGGATCATCCAGAAAATAACACACAGTGTTAAGATTCAAGGGTATACAAACTTTAGAACATCATTTTTATACATTCAGTTATTATTTTATCTTGTGGACTATATGTAATCATCTGTTATGTGCAATAGCTTATTCAGGACAGTACTAAATAAAAAATATCATGCATTTTTTTTATGATCCCTCTTATTTTGTTAAAATGATTACCATTTTGCATATTCTGCTAAGGGTATGTAAACTTATGAGCAGAACTGAAAATTATATTTTAAAAAAAAACAATTTAATTCTGACCATCATGTTGGTCAGAAAGGATATAACAAAAAATAATAATCATAAATGTTAAAAATTCAATAATATAAATTCATAATAATTAATAGTAATTAAATAGTTTAGTAACTGAAAAGTTGCATTTTTGTAAATTAAGGCTCAATTGTATTTCATAGGAATGTGAAGACGAGTGGGCTCACCTCAGTACGCTGGTTCTGTTCGCTTTGGCCATGCAAGAAACTTTGAAAGAAATAAACAAACGTACCTCAAACAACTTCCAGTTGCGTGTCGGTAAGATTGTGCTTTTCTCATATAACTGCTCTACTAGTGCTTATAAAAACCAAGTGCTTATATAAGATTCTTCTTATTTTCTAATTTAAGAATAAAGATGAGAATATTTTGTATTCCCAAACAACTTTTCTTAAGAATTTTCTTGTCTTGTTTATTAAATGTAAAGAACAAGCTTAAGAAGTATTCATATTTCCAAAAAAGAATGCTCTTAAAAATCATCATAAATAACTTCTTAAAGTTAGGATAACCTCCATCCTGTCATTAGGCTGCCTACAACACAACACTAGCTACATATAATACAAATTACTACCAGGAATGTGGACGAGTAGGCTACTCTGAAGTGACACCGTTCGATCATGAAAATCACTACTCTAGCAAGGCAGAACGCACAGACGAAATAAGACGGAGCGCAAATTAATCCATTAACTCCAAGTGTTACGAATTGATTCCACCGGAGGCAAGATGTAGCGAACCCAAATGCAACTTTAATAATAAACATAAGATCAAACATAAAACAAAGGCTAGAAACTAGAACAACACAGGAAACATTCACTGGTAACATACAATACTAGACAAAGACACAGGGCAAACAATGGGGCCTAAATACACTGACTAATTACAAGACAACGAACACTTGTGAACAATGATCAGACAATTAACAAATGACAAGACACATGGCAGGACCACATGACAAACAGGGAATCACATGACAGACAAGAACAAGGAACAAGACACAAAACCCACACCGTGACACCAAGCCAGTTGCGATGAAAATAGTCTGTGAATTTATTATTATAACTACATTAATCTACAGGCAGGGCAAAAAGGGTTTTGAGGTGTTTTTCATTCAACAAATCTTCAGCAATACCTGCCTTTCAATTAAGTAACAAGAAGGCTTGTCATTTTCTTCTTAAGAAAATATTTGAAAAATTCTTAAGATTGTTTTTAAGAATTGGACTTAGTTTTTAAGAACATTCTTAGGAACTTCTTGGCATTTATCTTAAGAATTTTGCTCATCCATCCCTCGCGTCCGAAAATTTTGACCCGAAAATCAAAACTTTTGTATCTGAATATGAACTATGAATACACACACAAAAAAATGACTTTAGGACCCAGCGGAGCTATAAGGCCATCTGTGGCAAGAGTCATGAAATTTCATGTTGTGTACGGCAAATACCACAAGAGTTCGGCAATCACCAACATTGACCCATTGTGAGATATTTTGAGCTGATCTAACCTGGTTTATGCATGTTTTGAAGAGTTATTTTGAATTTAAGTTGAAAGGATGTGAAGAATATGCTTAAATGATTATTTATAAAATTTAGTAATTTAAAGGTAAATTAAAAAAGATAATACAAAATCTCTCCCCAAAAAAGCATAAAAAAATATATAACAATTAAGTAATATAAGCTCTCTGGAGTCTGGACAAAATAAAAAAAGTATAATTTAAGGGTTTCGGGTCATTTTTAACCACGAGGGAAGGATTTGTTACAGAATGCGAGGAGAGGATGAGAGTTAACTTTTGCCTTGTAATCTTTACAAAATGTTGTAACTACCTTTGCTCTTCTTCTGAAAGACCATTAATGGGCATAAAACTGCTCCTCTATCACACAGGTATTTCTCATGGGCCTGTAGTCGCCGGGGTGATTGGCGCCACTAAGCCCCAGTATGATATCTGGGGCATGACTGTGAATCTTGCTAGCCGAATGGACAGCACAGGGCTCAGTGGGCGTATTCAGGTCCCGGAGGGCACGAGCCGTATCCTGGCCGACCACGGCTTTGTGCTACAGCTTAGAGGAGATATCTACGTCAAAGGGGTTAGCGAGCGGCGGGGAGGGGTCCGCACATACTTTGTTAGCAGCAGGGAAAAGAGCTTAAACTACGGCGAGAGGATCACCAGCAGAGGGATCTCTCTCGGGAGGAACACCCTCGGTGCTGTGGTCTTTACCCTGGTGCAGGCCCGCAAGAAAGAGGAGTTACGAGAGGCCAGTGGAGGCTTTCATCTCATGGAGATAACATGAGTTTGGATTGAAAACTGGACAGGAACCACATTCAATACCTCTTTTAGAGACTCATGTCTCTTTCATGAGTCATTGCCTTTAAGTGATTTTCCATTTTCTCTGTATTTCTTTGTAAATAGTAATAACTTTATTTCTCTTGTAAGATTTCTTCTGATTTCCAAAGTCGTGTTCCTTTTGTCCTGAAATCACTGGGATTTTTAGGCCCGGTTTCACAGACAGGGCTTAGATTAAGCCAGGATTAGGCCTTAGTTCAATTAGTGCATTTAAGTAGCTTTTATAAATGTGCTTTAGAAAAAAGCATTACTGGTGTGCATCATGAGACAAAACAATGACATTTTAAGATAAGTCAGTACAAGTTACTTTCAGTTAAGACAGCTCAAACATGCATTTTAGTCTGGGACTAGGTTTAAGCCTTGTCTGTGAAATTCCCAATTTTAACCCCAGGTTTCAAAGGGTCAAAATAGGCAGAGCTGCAAATGAAACATTCCTCATCTTGGAACAAGACCAAAATAGTGTACAAAAGCTATAAGGAACTCTGGATTCAACTTATCAACTTATTAGACTGATTATAACACTTAATTTAATTGGAGGTCATATGCGCTCTGATGCTCAACTGCCCTGACAGAATAAATGTGCAAATGTGGAGAGTAAAGTACGGTGGCCCAGTAGTGCACAACGAAATTTAAAAAGCAAACATAAGTTCACAACACAACGAAATTAAAGGTATAGCGGAGGATTTTCTTTTTCCGGGTGGGTAGTCTATACTATTGGTCTACCTAAGTGTCAATCATTCTGGTGATATGTTTACGTAAGGCCGTCGTACGTGCTCGTCCCTATGTAGTTTTCGCTTTCTGCGCATGCGCACTTTCAGGTGTATTATGTGTGATAAGTTACGGTTTCGGCCATTCCTTTGAAAATGGCTGAGGGTCGAAAGAGAAAAAATGTATACGAAGTGTATGATAAGAAGAGAAAGGCCGCAGAATATAGAAACAAGACCAGAGTGATTTTGGGTGATTATTTCACACGCTGGCGTGCGCTAAAAGCACAGGTTGGGCTTTCCACTGATGCCGCAGTCGCGAAGATTCTACTAGACAGGTAAAGTTTGTCATGCTATTTGGAGAAATCCATTTAAAATCACTGCTAGTAAAAGTTAATGTAAGCTATGATTAGCGATCCTGGCACAAGTCATGATTAGCGACCCTGGCACAAGTCATGCAAATAGAGTGTTGCGCATGTGCATTTTTTTTAAAAAATTGGAGAGGGCGGGTCTTCTCTAAAATTCGGAAAGATCCTCCGCCATACCTTTAAGCCTCAACACAATGGAAATGCTCCAGACCACTAGAGGGCTCTCGAACATAAAAGCTATAAATCCCAGGATTACTGTTCCGACATATCAGATTTTCTATGAAAAGCATGTAACGCAGAATATTTTAACAGTTTGTAAAACTCCCCTTTTTATATTATGTTTACATGGTCACAAAATGAGAATGCCAAAATTCTGTCTCTTTCTCTCTCTCCTTTTTTTTCTTCAGTAGACCTACACTTAGGTATTTCTGGGACACACTACCACATGTAGGCCACCAAATGATGTTGCAGTGTTTCTAAATATTCAACCGCGTTTACAATTTTGGAATATATTATATATATCTAGGGAGACTTAATATATTGGTGACGGTTACATAATATCTTCCAAAAAAAATTAAACATTTGTCTAATTAGGCCATTATTGAAAGCAGATAAAAACAGACAAACAATAAAAAAATTATAAACAATACTAAATATACTAATATTAGTTTTTGGCCAACATGAAAATAATTATTTGTTATCAGCATAGTTAATATGTTTATATCTATACATTAATGTTTATGAAAGGTGTATGTTATAGGAATGTGAAAATAAGGCCTAGCTCAGTGCTTGTTCTGTTTGCCTGGCCATAAGCGACTCTGGAAGAAATAAACAAAAATATCTCAAAACAATTGTGTGGTGGTAAGTTTTAACTTTTCTTGTTACTTTAAGCTTGGTGCCTTCTAGAAAACAGTAAAATCATTGTAAAAAAACAAATTGTAATGTATCTTTGAATCATGATATTTTTCTTGGGGTGACTACATTGTAAAAAACATCACCTTTTCTGCTGCTCTGGGCTGCACGAGCTCTGATGACGACACAGCTGTTCCACGATTGGCCGGATTCACCGCATGACAACGATCACGTGCGTTTCGTGTTTATTCGGTTTATTCTCACACCTTTAGTTCCACTAAAGCTCACAAATCAGTTTTTTTTATAACAGTAAACACTCTTTTCATGTAGTCGCGATGTATTGTGTTATGTTTATCAAAATAAAACTGATTAAAAAACGTTGATTCCACTTCATTGATAGTAGCTGTAGGCTTATGTTGAACTTTATTCTTGTTCAAACAAACGCTGTATGAAGCAGTACATAAAGTATTGAATGAAAATGTCTCTGAAACATCTGTGTATTTGGCAAATATTGCATTTATTTCACTTCAGCTGTGCTAAAGTATACAAACACCACGTGAGCGGTCACTACAGGAACCAGAAAGTGTCCGACTTCACGTCTCCGTTTGCAGCTCCTCCCCGCCTGCACGCGGCTACTCTCGCCGATCAGTTACATCCAGCCGCAGCCGATGTCGAACACACCTATTATCTTTGTTGTACAAGTAAATGGCGTATATTAGTGATGTTACATGACACTGAAGCTTCGATGTGCGTATCGCGAAAGCGATGCAATTTCTATTGAAGCCCCGTATCGGGGTGTGTATTGGTTTCCCAGAGGTCACGTGATCGATGACAAACGAAGCCTCACTTTCTGTCCAATCACGTGCGCGTCTCGCTTTGGGTGTCAGAAGGCTCGAAGGTCCTTGTTGGCTCAGTCTGGTTGATGGGTTTGTGAGGAGAGTGCTGTACTTTGAAAGTTAATCAATACATTACATTTAAATAACCAAAATTACTTATTATTTTGTTGTTGTTGTTGTGTCTTTTTGTTTTTTTTTTGTGTAAAAAAACACTTTTGGTGTTTTTTAGGTAATTTGGTGTTGGTATTTGGGTGTTTGGTGACGGGTTTGTATTTACAGCAATGGCAACAGCCAAAAATAAGTAAGACTTCCCCTAACTGGGAATATTTTGAGCTTATAGCTTCCAATCATGAATGCATTTCTAAAAAAAAGAAATAAATATTTATTTATTTATTTAGTATTATTTTATTTTTTATCATTGTATTCTATAATTGTTGACCATTGATGTGTCTTATATTCAGTCAATGTACATGTACAGTCACTCCTAACAAAAAAAATGTATCCTCACACTTCTGAGGTGGAAACCTTTGGGTTCTGTTGGAAAGTGCTGTAGACCAGCGCAAACAAAGCTCAAATGCCACTTCTGATGCGATCGTAGAAGTGGATAAATACCTTACAGAGACAAACATACAAAGAGCTGAAGATCCACTTGAATACTGGAGAATGCAGAAACATGTCTACCCCCATCTATATACATTGGGATTACAGAATAATTAAAATCTTTATCACCTTTCTGTCATTCCTACAGTTACATAAGCACTATCACTGCCAAGTGTCAACAGATGATCCTATCACACAATGTCCTTATTCACTATATGTGTGTGTGTGTGTGTGTGTGTGTGTGTGTGTGTGTGTGTGTGTGTGTGTGTGGGGAGAGAGAGAGAGAGTAGGCCTACATTAGATCTTATTAAATCATATGCTCATTTTTATATTTTATTGTCACACTTTAATGGGTAAAATAATTTATTTATTAATGGACAAATCAAACACAAACGTGTAAGGCTTTTTATTTCTACACATAACATTGAAATTATGGAGTGTGTTGTGGTTGCTTCATCTGACAGAGCTTTTAACACAGGCTTCTGGCTGCTTTATTTTAAATAAGCACCACATGGCGCTGTTCTCGACACTCTCGAAGCTTTGAATCTTTTCCCGGAACAGTCAGGGGAAAGCCTCATTGATTCACAAGGCTTCATTTCCCATCATTTCCCCACCCCTACTCTTAGCAGTCTCAAATCACAAACTTTCTCTTTCAAATCAAACAAACAAACAAACAAAAGGCTACTCAGTCTCAAAACTCTTAACATTCAAATCACAAATCATGTATTGATAAGAATCTGTTCACGTGACGCAGTGCTCATAGTTCGTCAGCTCACTTACAGTGACAGCAGCGCTCATCTCACTGATTTGATCTCAGGATTCTGGGGGAACACTGGTAATTAAAATGTCGATCACAGCGGACGAGATTAAGGATAAATTACACTCTTCAGGAGATGACCTCGTTTTCTTCGTTAATGGAAAAAAGGTAATTGGAGAAGTTAATAATTACATGTGTTTAACTACGTGTTTCAAACATTTTGCTTCTGATTTTTCCCCTGGGTTAAAGTTGTTAGCCAATACGGCCAAACGTGTTTTCCATAATTAATTCTGTGCAGATTACGGAGAAGAATGCAGAGCCTGAGATAACCCTCTTGACATATTTGAGGAGAAGCTGTATCCTTTTGATCCGTTGCTCTGCTGAACAGTCTCTGTGTGTTGAAACTGAAAGCTTTTTGTCCTCTAAAAAAAAGTTACATTATTAGACCATAACCCCAGCATTTACGAGACACTGATATTTCTGTCTTCTGGAGTTATGTTTTTGGTTAAATTGAATTGTTCGCTACCTGCATGGGATTGCGTTCCTTTGACTATTCTTTGAGGTTTGCTCACATCACAGTCAGTCAGTTTATTTAATTGCATCACTTTCATTTTGTTGTCTTTGCTCATGAAAAGTGCTGATTTGTTTCAATATGTGATCAAGCCTGTCCCTTATTCTTATTTCTATACAGTAGTATGATTGTATAAAATACTTCAATGATATAACTTTGAGATAAATATAATAAATGAACAGTTGTGGAGAATTTTGTTGATTTTATTCCCCCTGCATTTTGGTAAAAACTCCTCCATTTGATTAATATTACAGAATATGAATCAATTAGATTTTACACCAACAAAAGTACTTAGTAAGAGTCAAATCAGCATGATTCAAAACTGAAAATAAAGTTCTGAAAGGTTGAAACTAAGTGTTCGAAAACTCAAAATCTTACAAAAAAAAGTTTTGCAAGATCGAAAAATAAGATTTGCAAGCTTGCAAAATGTAAAAAAAATTAAAAATATCTCTGCAAACATTATGTTGTTTTTGAGATTTCCTTCTTCAGAACTGCAACATTTTTTTTACGATGTTGCGCAAACAATTTTTCAGAGTTTCACATTTGTCAGTGTTCTCCCACTGTATTAGTTTGTTTTCCAGGTTTGAAACCTTGTAAATGGTGATCTGAAAACTGGTGTGCGAATGTGTGAAAAAAAGTTTTGAAACTCTGAAAACAGACTTTTGCAGGCTTGCAAAGGGGTAAAAAAAAATTAAATCTCTGCAAACATAATTTTGTTTTTGAGTTTTCCTTCTTCAGAAGTGCAACACTCTTTTTTACGGTGTTGTGCAATCATTTTTTCAGAGTTTCGAATTTGTCACTGTTCTCCCAGTGTATAGTTTGTTTTCCAGATTTCAAACCTTGTAAATGGTGATCTGAAAACTGGTGTGCGAATAGGTGAAAAAAAGTTTTGAAACTCTGAAAACTGAGGTTCGAAAGGGCGAAACTTATTACATTACATTACATGTGCACTCCTATTGCAGACTATTTTTTCAGAGCTGAGTTTACAACACCCAGTTTGCGGAGATACGCCCACACAGTTGCGAGCTTGCGACTCACGTGATTTGTGGCAGCGTTGTCACGCAGTTCTGCTCTGAAACTCTGAAACTCAGACTTCGCAACCTCGTAACTTAAAAAAAAGCCTGGAGGGAGGGCCTTCTGCTCTTGGCCAATGCTTTGCTGTCTGCTGACGTACAGTCCAATCACAAGTCGTATTTACTGGAAAGGTGGGATTGACCGACTGCTCCGCCAATGACGAAAGCGTATGGAATGAATATAGTCAGTCATATTTATTTATAGAGCACATTTAAAAAAAACAGCTGTTGGCCAAAGTGCTGTATCAAAATATAGTATCAAAATGATTAACACGTGCAAGCACAATTATCAATGAACTTGATTAATGTTGCAGAAATGTTTTATTATCCACAACCAAAGGCCTTTCAACAGGCCTTTTCAGGGGCGGCGCCAGATCATTTTTAACGCAGGTGCTGAGGGGGTGCTAGATCATTGACAGGGGGAGCTGCGCAATTATATATATATATATATATATATATATATATATATATATATATATATATATATATATATATATATATATATATACATACACACACACACACACACACACACACTATTATTTAAATGAGCAAAATTTATAATGAGATGCTCCAGCTCATATATGCAATGCAATCGTGCCCGTGCCTCCATGATCATATTGTCAGCTTTTTGCTTCTTATTTATTATATATCCAATTGGTTGATGAAAAAATGATTAAAATTAAGATACAATTTATACAAAACGAAATTCACTTTAAAGAAAGACTTTCTACAAAACAAAACTTAATTTAGTGGTCAAAATCATGTCTGACCCATCATTTCTTCCGATATATTGCGCATCCATCTTACACATGCTGTTCAATTTTCATAATCAGCATAGATGTGAAAAAAATAACATTATAATATTTTAACAAAAATGAAACTAAATGCGCTTATTTAATGGCTACAACACATATAGTGGGCCTATACAGACTCTCTAAATATTTACATTAATATTGACAATGAAGTGCAGTTTGTTGATAGTAAATGTTAACTAATCTATAAGTGTTACCGATTTTTTATACACCGATTCAGAGGTCTCGTGAGTTCAGTGTTGGACAGGTCAGTTGTTTCAACTATTCATTAAAGTGAAGAGTTAAAATGAGTCATTCGTTTGCGTATCGGACGTGTCATTAGTGGACGTCTAGCACGCTTGTGTGATTATCTCGGCAGTTTAGGAGTAGGACATCACACAAGATTTGCAATGTGTACAAATAGAGACATTTTTGTGAATACAAATGTTTTCTTTTGTATTAGTGTTTCATAATTTGCGCATCCAACAAAGAAGACGTGCATATGTGGATCAGGTGACACGCGTGCATTCATTGACGTCTTTTCTGAGTCGATCTCATTTGATTCATTTGGATTTTGAGACTTTCTTTTCGCGGGTTTTAAGCATTTCACAACCCACACACAAACAACTACAAATGAATAGGCCTGGTGCTAATTATTGATTTGGGCACAACTACACATCTATTTGACAAATTCATAAATGTGCGTCACTACATTTAAACTAATACAATTCAATGTGTGCGCAGAATCCAGAATCACATGAATGTGCAGCATTTTGTACAACTAGAGCCATATAGTTGTTAATACAAAACCTCGATTTTGTATTAATGTAGCTCAGAACTTGTGCATGCAACAAGATGTGCAATTTTTGATCAGGTGAAACGCGTGCATTCATTGCTCCGTTTCTAGAATGCATGAATATATTATATTCATCCCATACGCTTTCGTCATTGGCGGAGCAGTCGGTCAATCCCACCTTTCCAGTAAATACGACTTGTGATTGGACTGTACGTCAGCAGACAGCAAAGCATTGGCCAAGAGCAGAAGGCCCTCCCTCCAGGCTTTTTTTTAAGTTACGAGGTTGCGAAGCTTCATTTTCTCTCAGTCTGAGTTTCAGAGTTTCAGAGCAGAACTGCGTGACAACGCTGCCACAAATCACGTGAGTCGCAAGCTCGCAACTGTGTGGGCGTATCTCCGCAAACTGGGTGTTGTAAACTCAGCTCTGAAAAAATAGTCTGCAATAGGAGTGCACATGTAATGTAATGTAATAAGTTTCGCCCTTTCGAACCTCAGTTTTCAGAGTTTCAAAACTTTTTTTCACCTATTCGCACACCAGTTTTCAGATCACCATTTACAAGGTTTGAAATCTGGAAAACGAATCGGTTACCTAACGTAACCTCGGTTCTCTCTAGAAGAGGGAACGAGTATTGCGTAAGCTAGCTTACGCTGTGGGAAAGATTCATCTTTGCTGAGATATTGAAGCCAAAAAATTATTTCATAATTTTGTATCCATACACAACGCAGTTCCTCTGCGGCAGACCTAGAGCGGGCTAGCTAGCAGCTCATTGGTTCGCTCAGAGAGAACTGCTTAAGCCAATGGGAGAGCGGGGCTGAACCCGCTTCCAATGAGAGGCGCCCGCGCGCTCATTGCGTCATGACCCGCCAGAATGGGCGTGGCCATGGTGTATATAAGGCGCTCTCCCAGGCTTATATGTTGATTTATTTCAGCGTGAAGCGAAACGCTAGTAGCGCAAGCACGGCCGGGAACGCAATACTCGTTCCCTCTTCTAGAGAGAACCGAGGTTACGTTAGGTAACCGATTCGTTCTCTTACGAGAGGTTCTCTCGTATTGCGTAAGCTAGCTTACGCTGCGGGAACACCTGGCCAACGCCGTGCGCGCTACGAATCCACTCATGAAAAACCCAGGGATATACCGGGGGAATTTCTTAACGTGGAGTGAATGTACAAAGAGGCCGCAGAGCGGGCTCATGAAGTGTACACATAAGCATGTATGGGGCCAGCAGAGCGGGCACATGAAGTGTATAAGCATTACAGGAGAGCACAAGGGGCGAACCGGTTGTGAGGGACCTCCAGAAATGCAGCTTCTTAGAGAGCTGTTCGTCAGACAGCTAGTAATTTTGCCTGCAAGGCGGGAACTTCCAAGTTATAAAACCTGACAAAAGTGGACGGGGAGGCCCATCCCGCGGCCACACAAATGTCATGAATGGAAATTCCACAGGACCATGCCCACGATGAGGCCATGCCTCTAGTGGAGTGCGCCCTGATGCCCAGAGGGCAGGGCAGGCATTTAGATGCGTAAGCAGAGGCGATAGCGTCCACTATCCATCTAGACAGTGTCTGTTTTGAGGCGGCCAGACCCTTGGTGCGCCCCCCAAACGACACGAAAAGCTGCTCAGCGCGTCTGAACGCGGCAGCGCGCGTAGTGTACAATCTCAGAGCCCGCACCGGACAAAGGAGATTGGCATCGCGCTCACTATCGGATGAAGGCAGAGCCGATAGGGAGATAATCTGAGCCCTGAACGGGGTACCAATCGCCTTCGGGACATAGCCATGCCTAGGTTTGAGAATGACAATCGAATCATTCGGTCCAAACTCAAGACACGCGGCGCTGGATGAGAGCGCGTGAAGATCCCCAACGCGTTTAACTGAGGACAGAGCCGTCAGGAAAACGGTTTTGAGCGAGAGGTATTTCAGATCCACAGACTCGAGCGGTTCGAACGGGGGTGCTTTCATAGCTTCAAGGACTATAGAAAGATCCCAAACCGGAACCGACGGGGGCCGCGGAGGGTTCATCCTCTTAGCTCCCCTGAGGAAGCGGATGACTAACTCGTCTTTGCCCAATGACTGAGCGCGTCGGGGTTCCGCGAACGCCGCGACGGCTGCCACATAAACCTTGAGA